TTAGGGTTTAGGGTTTAGGATTTATCCTTAGTTCATACGAACGATCCAACTACGCGCGGGGTCCACCTTTCACAGACAGGGGTCCTCATCATGAGGACCCTTTGTCTTTGCATTCTTCTAAGAGGATCCCTTCTCGTCGTAAAGTCTCAATTCCCACACGAAGTCTTGTGGCGAATAACTTCCCTCCTTTGAGACCAAGAAAGAGAAGTGCCCAAACCACGACCTGAAAAACCAAATTTCCAACCCCAGCCCCAACTAGCAACACAAGAATTAGGGTTTAGAGTTTAGGGTTTAGGAAACCCTAAACTCTGGACCCTGAAACGCTTCGTCCCTTGCTGAAGGGTTCCCGAAACCCGAAGTGGCCCTTCGCAATCGGCGGCTGTGTGACTGAGCTCGGCAAGGCAATCAGACTCACAGGCATCACCTGCTTGAGCTGTTGGGTTTGTATCTTCGTTAGGGTTTAGGGTTTAGGGTTTAGGGTTTAGGGTTTAGAGTTTAGGGATGGGCCTAAGGGGTTTATCCGTGAAGCTCGGTAATGCGGCACGATGCGGCCCCGTTCCCAATGCCAGGCATGCAAAGGACCCTAAACCCCTAAACCCTAAACCATGAAACCCTAAGCCTAAACCCCTAAACCCCTAAGCCCCAAACCCCTAAACCCTAAACCATGAAACCCTATAAGCCTAAACCCCTAAGCCCTAAACCCTGAAAGCCTCAACCCTGGCACCCTAAACCCCAAACCCCGGAAACCTTTACCGGCGCCAGTGTTCCCGACACCCCAAGCGGCACCTTCGTCAACGGCGGCTCCGTAACTGGCGTAGGCAAGGCACCCACCGACTCGGGGCCAAGGCTCTCGGGCATCACCTCGTTTAGAGTGTCAGGCTTAAGGTTTATATAGGGTTTAGGGCTTAGGGCTTATGTCATAGGGTTTAGGGGTTTAGGGTTTAGGGTTTATATAGGGTTTAGGGGTTTAGGGTTTAGGGTCCTAGGGTTTGGGGGTTTAGAGTTTCAGGGCTTGGGGTTTCTGTAGGGTCTAGAGTCTCAGGACTCAGAGTCGAAGAGCTGTAGTGACCAGGGTTCAGTGGGTTTAGGGTTTAGGGTTTAGGGTGGATTGTCGGGTTCAAGGCATGAGGATTCAATGCGCTTGCATGAACTTCGGATATAGGAAATGCCTCTAAACCCTGAACCCTACATGCAAAACCTTAGCCCGAAGCCCTACTGTAAACCCTGAGCCCGAAACCTGTAAACCCTAAACCCCTAAACCCCAAACCCTGAACCCCTAAACCCTAAACCCTGAACCCCTAACCCCCCGAACCCTAAACCCTAAACCTGTAAACCCAATGTAGGGTTGGCTCTGGGGGGATGTTGCTCTGGGAGCGGCAATCGACGTTTTCATAATTAGAATAGAGTTCCCTGGATTCGTTCTCTCACGGTTTTTGTTTAAGGGATTTGTGTCCTGTAGGAATTTCCGGGCATTTCCGGGCCCTACTTATTCAAGTAGGGTCTAGCAGAGTCTAGCAGTATATCATAGTATAGTCACAATCATAAGTATAAGTTCTATACGGAGTATTCAATTCAAGTATTCCGACCTCTGTACTACACACTGGTTGGCTGCTGACCCAACGAGATACTGTCTACAGCAGTCTTGAAGATGATTGAAGGTTCCGCGCCCTCATGTAGACCTTGATCAGCATCCCCCTATACTCTACCTCAACCCTATTTAAACACCTTATGATTTGCCGCCGTTTAAGTCCTTTTAAAACGGTGGGGTCTTTGGGTTCCGGTAAATCCTGAAGTCCACACCAAAGCTCGTCGGAAGCCCAAGTCGCGGATCTGTCGCTGAGCACTGGAAGGCTCTCCAGCAAGATGCGAGAAGGAGCGGACAGGCCTCCGGGAAGTGAGAAGGGCCTTAATAAGTAGAATAGGGTTTTGGGGTATACTATACTCTCACAATAATAAGGAACCCCCAAAACAGTGTAGGCATAGGTAATTACTACGACCCGTATACTACCGCAATCAAGAGGCTTTTTTAGATGATTGGTGTAGGGTTCCTTTGAAGGGTGCGTTTAAAGGTTTGAGTAAAGGATTGACAGCACAAGAGGAACACTAAGAAAATGTTATGACAAACATTCAGGCTCCCATTCATGGACTAGGGTTAAGCATTGGAGCTCGTGGTTGAGGGTTTGGGGCTTAGCGGCTAGGGGTTTAGGGGTTTAGGGATTGAGGGTTACCCAGGGTTGGGCTTTGAGGGGTTTCGGGTTTAAGATGTGTGAGGGCTCTTTTGGCAATTCAAGGCGAGTTTGTTGCCATTAGTTGCAAACCTTCCTGGTAACATGCTTGCTGTGGGAGTTCACGCAGTTGAGTAGCCTCAAACCCTACATCCTATCAGCCCTAAATCCTAAACCCTATAAGCCCTAAATCCCAGACCCCTAAACCCTATACGCCCTAAATCCTGAATCCTAAATC